CAGAGCTGAAGGCGTAGGCGATCAGACTTGATGGTCTGATTTCTAAACAGTGTCCCTGAGCCCCGGGGAGCTGGCGGACAGTCAGAGGTGGGACCGGGCCCTTCGGACCAAGCCCAGCGGGGCCTGCATCAGGCCCGACATCACCCGGCGTCAGCAAGGGCAGCCCAGCTGACACGTGCCAAACTCCCATTTGATACAACTCTTGTTTTTCTTCTCATTCGCTACATTTTGGTGATAAACAAGCAATAAACAGCAGCAACAATGAGAGCCAGTGGTTACTGAGAACTTCCTGTGCAGGAGCTTCCCTGCCATGTGCTCTCAACAGATGACCTTGATCCAGGCGGTGACCCCTGCCAGGTGCTCGTCGTCACCTCTGCAGCACAGGCGGGGACACAGAGGCCGAGGTGTCAAGGATCTCAGCCAAGACGTCGCCTTCGTGAGCGCCACAACCAGGGTCTGAGTGTCCCTCTCTTGACACCGAGTCTTTTTGTTATTCACGGTCCTCGGTAAACAGAACAAACCCAACCAAACTTTCCTGTCCTTCTAGGGTTCGAAACCAGGACCTTGCGATCCTGGGGCCGACGAGGCAGCGTGGCACGGCAGTGGTGTTTGTGGAGGGGCTTCCAGGCTCCAAGCAGAGCGGGCTCCTGGGCTCCTGCTGTCACACGCCCCTGGCTTGGTGGCGGGTGTCCTGGCTGCACCAGCCCGTACCTGGGGGCTGGCTCAGTGCCGCAGGGCGAGTGGCACCCACCTGGCCCTTCTCTCTATCACCTGGGAGCTGAAGGCCCACCTGTGGCTGCCAGCCTCTCCGGACGCCCCCGCCTGAGAGGGGCGGGGGGCAGACGCCCTGTACCCCTCAGGTATCTGTGAAAATTTCCGTGGCACTTGGTTCCACGGGCGAACGTTATTAGGCGGCACAGTTGCGTAAGGTATCCACACTTGCGAGTTCACCCGAATTTCAGGCCTGGGCCAGAAGCCCAGGAAAGCTACCGGGGCCGCCCTCAACATCCTGTCGCGTGTCTCTCACAGAGATGCCAGGCGGGGAAACGAAGGGCTATTTCTAAATGGACGGCTTCGCTGCGTTCTAAGTTAGCAGAGACGGAACCTTCCGCGAACAGGTGCACACAGACGGGCCGGGCAGGCCTGCGAGGGAAGCTCAGGGCAGGCCTCCGTCTGGGCAGACGCACCTGCAGGGGACCCGTGGAAGAAGGCACGCCGCGGGGAAAAGGGTCGAGATGGTGGATGCTTTCGGCGTAAGCCGCTCTGCACGCTGCCCACAGGAGGCGGGCAGCGAGGGGAAGGACGTGGGCGACATCGGCGCCGTTTCTGCATTTAACCCTGTTTGGTCCGGCCTGATCCGCTTGCCCGTCTCGAAGCGCAGGAGACAATGTCGCCTCCTGGAAACGGCCCGGTTATCCGTACCGAGCGGCGGGGGCCACGTGCTGGCACCGCCGCAGAAGCACATTCTTTGGCAGGATGGAGGCCTCTCTCCGTTCACCTGCCCCCCTCCCTGGGGACAGTGCGCTGGCCGAGCAGGCCGTGCTCGTTACTGACGATGTGATCTGAAGCTCTAACGAGACCCACTGACAGGTAAGGGCCACGCGCTGGAGGCCACTAGAAGTGGCGAGGAAAATGCCTGGACCCCGCCCCCCGCCCCGGTGCTGAGAGCCAGCTTCCCGGGATGCTTGGGGTTCCACACCGCACGCGTCACTGAAGTCACCCCACACAGGAGGTGACGATGCTCAGGAGCCCTCCGGTGACCTTTCGCCACAGCTGTGTTCTCCACTCCCGAAGGAGGACCGCCCGCCTCGGTCTGACTCATTATAATCAGGGCCGACTTCCTTTGGGGAGCAATATTTACTTTTAAAGATACAATGGCAGTGAAGGTGCTGGAAACTATCGGTGTTCGCAAGGCCTGTGTCAGCGGGGTGCTGGCCGCAGGGGACAGGCTTTCTCCAGTTGGGGACAGCCAGGGGGCACAGGACCCCCAAACGAGGGTCGGTCCACACAGACTGCCGGCCAACAGACTTGTCTTTGTAAATAAAGTTTTATTGGAACATTTGTTCCATTTGTCTCTCTCCTGCCTACAAAACACTCTTCTCTCTGCGATAGCAAAGTGGGGTGGTGGAGGCCGACACCGTGGGGGCCTGTTTACTCCCTGGCCCCTTCCAGAAGAAGCCCGCGGACGCCCGCTCCAACACGCTGACACTCACGATAAAAACCCCACGGTTCAGGGACGCGTGAAAACTCACCGAGCACATTAGCTCTCCTGGTGCCAGCCCCAAACATCAGCAAATACTACGTAACGGATCCTCATTCCCTTGAAGCAGAAAGGAGGTCGAGTTCCCCGCTCCATCAGTTAACGTCCCGAGCAGACACCCAGACTCCGGCTCCTCGCCTCCGTCCACTCGTTTTAGTTTAAGGGGCCGAAGACCACAAGACCAAGTTACCTGGCTCATCGATGCACCTGTTCGCGCATTCCTTTTCGACCTCAGCAAACATGTACTGAGTGCCCTGTGTTGTGCTAGGCACTCAGAATACATAGATGAAGGTGCTGGAAATTTAGACTAAAGGCCAGCGAGTCGAGGACAGATATGTCAACTCGAAATGAGGAAGTGTCTGGGACAAGAGTTTGCACGGCGGGAGCTGGGAGCCTGGAGAAGGCGACCGGCAGTGTGTGTGTCGGGGGCGGGGTGGTCGGGGACACATTCTCAGGGAAGTTGACGCCTATTTAGCTCTGTTGCAACTGTTCTTTCAGATATTAAATGTGATAACTTCCGTAATCACCTAGTCCTCCCCTGTCCACTGGGGACCACGGCAGACGTGCACATCGACTGTCCCCAGGGTAGCAGTGGCCTCGGGTAGGAAAGGGGCTGCTGGCCGGACAAGTACAGAGCCTGGAGGACGATCGACCAGAACCCCAGATGCCTCCGAATTCCAGATATAATCCTAAAGCGTGTGTGCACGCACACACACACACACACACGCACACATGCGCACGCACACACATGCACATGCATACACACACGCACGTGCACACGCACACGCACATGCACACACATGCACGCACATATGCGCACGCACGCACACACACGCACACACACGCACACACACATGCACACACGCACACACACATGCACACACACACGCACACACATATGCGCACGCACACACACACACACACGCACATGCACACGCACACGCGCACGCACATGCACCACCCCCTATTGCAACCGTGGCTTAAGTTTTTCTTTGAATTTCCAGCCCTTCCCAGAAGGCAGGCCGGGGTTGGCATCTGGCCTCTCTCCCATGCGGACGGCGAGGCGGGAGTCTGCCAGCTCAGGGACGATTAAGGGGTGACACTGAAGGAGGAAGCAGGTCTGGTGGAAAGGGACTTTGGCCCATGGTCACCTCCTTTTCCTGATGACTATGAAAAGGCCGGACAGTGCCCACTCAGTGAGGCCGCCCAGGCCCACGGTGTTCTCTGGCCAAATGTGAGGCTGGGGCGTGGTGGGTCCCTGGAGTGACTATGACAAGCCCTCTACAGAGACGTGATGTCACGTGACAGGGTGACCTAGTGGGTGTGGGGAAGGTCTGCTAATAGGAAGGTCCTCGATCACCAGCTCATGGGGACTGAGAGATGACAGCTAGAGCCCCAGCCTCTGGCGTCTCGAGCACTCACGTCTGCCACGGTACCCTAGGAATCTGCACCTTTTCCTCGCGTAAGAGCTGGTGCTTCGAGGGAAGATGGGTTTTATTCCCTCGTTGTGACTAAGTTGATGGATCGGTGTCCCTCTGCTACACCGGCTCGCGACGTCCCCGACCTCCTGTCATACTGATTTTGACCGGCTTAGCGTGCTTTTCGAAACCTCTCACGGCTAAGTGTGTAGCCCAGGGGACATGTCAGTGATAGTTAACATCGTTTTGTGACCTATGCACTTCTGTCTCTTCAAATCATTTCAAGGCATTGGAATTAATATGCAACCAAGAAAATATAACCGTCCTACCGGGGAAAATCAGACTATTTTAATTTCTAAGACAGTGGACAGTCTATGCTATGCGATCTCACTCCAAGCTCATAAAAACGATCATTCCTGTGCTATTTTAGGAAAAGAAAGAGTTTTTAAAATGCAGCTTTAGTTACAGATACAGAAAAAATGGTGAGTAGGGCAACCGTGTCATGTGATCTTCACACAGTGGGGACTTTCTACAAAGGGCGACAGATACAATCTCTTGGAATAAAGCGAAACGGAAAGGACAGGTATCACCTGGTTTCAGACACAGGTAATGCCAGAGCTGGTGTAAACCTGGGGGGTCATCCTACCCAAACCTTACACTCGGCAGCCGGGCCAGCTGGTGGCGGCTGACCACCGAGTGACGTGTCCCCCGCCGGCCCGCACGAGATTACAAGCCGTGCCGTGTCTTCTAACCCCGTTCGGAGCCCTTTCATTGGACCATCCCTGCCACTAAGTGTCCCCAGATGACGTAGTTTTGCCGATTTGAGTAAGAACCCGTGAAGCTGGGGGGTGGGGCCTCCCTAGCTGTGGAGAATCCCCCCCGAGCCGCTGCTGCCTGCGGGGGGCCTGGCTCCGAAACGACCGGCTCGCCCCCTTCCTGCACCGAACCCTCAGGCGGAGGGAGCGGCATCGTGGAAGCAAAGCCGGTGGCTCCGCGACGCTGACGAGCCCACCGGACGCACTTCGGCCGTGGCTTCTCTGAGTCCGCAGGAAATCTGTCACCCACGTGCACAGCCCCGTTAGGGACCCGTTTAAAGACACTGGAGCCGGAGACCGAAGCACACGCCCTTCCAGCTTTAAGAGGATTCTCGACTGAAAAAGGGGACGGACGTTGCGCACGTGCAGACACCCCGGCGTGCTTATTCGCGTGTGATTCCCACACGTGCAGAAGCCGCGTGTGCCGAGGCGGAGCCGGTCTATAAAGCGCGCACCTGCTCAAGTTCAGAACACGGTCGCCGGGGGGCGGGGGGAGGGTTCGCTTACCAGCTGCTGGCCTTTGGGGCCCCACCCTGCGTACTGGAGCTTGGCATTGCTGACTTCCGGCGGATCCAGACTTTGAGGATCCCTGAAAAAAACAAACAAAGCAAAACGGTGGGAAACGGGAAATGAAGATGCTGCTTCTACCCTCCAGCTGCGCTTGATTCCCCGCCTTCCTGCGGCCTCAGCTTCAGGAGCCGGCGTGATTGCATCGTCTGTCTCGTTCAGATTTCTTCATAATTCACGGGAAGCCGAGACAGGCCCGTCAACGCTGGCCCCAAACAGTAAATGTCCATCATGAGAGAACATGCAGAGAAGTCTATAGATGAATTTTTAAAAAACACCCAGAACGGTCGAAGTTCAAAATTGAAATGCAAAGCTATATATCGATAAATCTCCACCGCTTATGTCCCCATCCCTGGCCTTCCCGGCAGATAGTGTTTTTCCTGAGCATAATGCCGGGTCATTCTGCCTTTCAAAACCGGTGGCCTCAAGGATGGATTCCAATCTTTGGCTTGTGCTGATAGATACTTTCCAGAAAGAGAGAGGGAGGGAGGGAACGGAGGAAAGATTTTTTTCCTTTCAAACACCATTTACACTTTTCATTCTTAATTATAATATGCAAAATACCATGCCCGCAAAATCCTGCCGGTGCCCTAAGGTCAAAATGACGATAAGTCACAATGAAAAAACTAAAAAAAAAAAAAAACCTAACCGTTTTATAAATAGCAAATATTTCAGTATATTTTGTAGCTACCACTGTTCTACAGTATGTAGAAAAGGCTGATTTTTTTTTCCATTTTGCAGATTTGCAGTTTGTTTTTTTTAAATTTTTAAAATTAATTTTTAACTTATTTTATTGTTTATTGAGGGTAACATTGGTTAATACAATTATATAATTTTCAGGTGTTAGAAAACGCTGATTTTTCCCATTCGTTTTGGATGACGCTGCTCCCCGTGAAAAATTATCTCTATGTTCTGGCTGCCTGGGCCAGACTCTGCCCAGTGAGCCTCTTACCGCTTGGCCGTGATGCTTCTCATGCAGAAGGCATAGCTACAAATGTGCCCATTCGACCAGAGACAGACTAGGGTCAGGTGGTCTTTGAAAAGGGGGACACTGCACATCAGGAGTTGCTTGAACAAAGCAGGTAAGACGTGAAGGGAAGGGAGCTGAAGTGGCGAGCACGTGCCGATTCGGGGGTCGAATCGACGGGAAATCCTAAAGTAATTGCTTAATTATCCTACCCGGACAAAATGGATTCCATTTCAGCGCTGGGGAAGGCGAGATAGTCCGCAAAGCCCCGGGCAGTCGCGGATGGCGTCCCAGGGTCTGGAGAGGCCAGGGAAGCCTGACGACGGGCAACAGAGCCAGAGGGACAATGACAGCAGCGGTCAGCGGGCGAGGCCGAGGCCCAGGCAGTTAGAGGGGTGAGTGTGTGTGTGGGGGGGTCTCAACGTTCTGGGTTCCAAACCAACTTTAACAAACCCCACCATTAGGGTTGAATGTTCTAATGTTTCGAAGTAGTTTAACAGACATGGGTGATTTCGTCTTTAACTCTGTGCGGGAAAAGGGAGACTTGAAATCCAGAAGCAGTAGGATAAACGAGTAATACATCTGATAACATAAAAATTTAAGAAGTCGTGCATGACGAAAACGTCACAAGCAAAAGACAACTGAAAAACTGGGAGAAAATATTCATAACACATACTAGGGGTGAATGGCTATCATCTCTAATGCATAAAGAACTCTAAAGTTAAGGTTACAAAAGACCCTAAAATGATAAAAATATGAGTAACAGACACGAACAGGAAATTCACACACCTGCAAAAAAGATATTAAAACAGCCCTCAAACACATAACCAGGTCTCAAACATATGCAAAATTCGAGAAATGCAAATCGAAACTACGGTGAGTTATTTCTCACCCATGAAACTTGCCAAAGATAAAAACGAAAGAAAGTCCGATACTCGGTGCTGGTGAGGCTGTGGGGAAACGGGCATTCTCGCGCTTTGCCGGTCGGGGAGCAAATTGGTACAAGCCTTTCAGACGGAATCTTGGTGACACCGGATAAAATACTCACTTAACTCCTGACCTAGACCGCTTCCTGGAAGACGCACCCCCAACGATGCCAACATACATGTGCAGGAGGCCGTATTCATTGCGGCTTTGCGACTACAAAATACCGGGAACAACACACCGTGGAATAAACTAGGGCGCATCCATGCAGCGAAATACGACGCAGCCGTCAAAAGAGCAAAAATCTGTGTGGTGGTTTCCACGACGGAGATATGCAAAGCCCAAGACAGGACAGGAAAAGACACACGCCTGCCTCTCCTCGTTTGTGGCAACAGAAACACAGGGGGCATAAAACAGAGACCAGAGGCTGGTTACGTACAGATGGGGGGCAGCGGAAGGAAGGGGAGATTGGGAATACGGGGGCAGCGAGGACGAGAAAGCGAACTCTGAATATATATATATATATTTCGGTAGAACGTCCAGTCTTGGACCACAGTTAGGGTTTCGCATGATCTTCGCACACTCCAAAAACAAAACAAACTATTAACGGCAGCCAGGACGTGGGCTGAAATTCAACCAAGCTGTTGAAATTCAAATTCAACCTGTTGCGGATGGGGCGAAAGATGAGGCTGGGGGTGGGGAAGCAGAGAACGAACCCGCGGATGACACACAGCGGGGGAGAAACGGGGCTGTCCCCGCCTCGTGAGTGCGTGCGTTTCTCTCCGGCCAGGGGCGGGCGGTTCTGAAACTGGGTGTGTGCGTGGGCACCAGAATGAACGAATGTGCAAATACAGAGAGACAGCGGCGAGAAGGAGGGCCGGGCTTTGCACCGCTGGGGAAAAAATCAGATAACGTCCTTCCCGACACACTGTGATCTCGGTGTTGAATGAAGAGAGAAACCAGTGACTTCCACGTCCGGCACAGCGTGGGCACACGCGCTCGAGCAAACGAACGGACAAGTGCGACGGCCACGGACGTGGTGCTCACCTGAACTCCTTCCGTCAGGTTTCAGACGAAGCCGGCGCGTTCCCCCAGCCTGGGCCTATTTAGAATGTTCCGGGCTCGGAGAACAGGGTAGGAGACCAGAAAGAACTGTGTGAATTACACACCAAAGTCCGCTCGGCTGGATGATGATTTCCGGTGGGTGCTAGAAAATTCTGGAACAGCAGGGGACCCGCCTCTGTTTGAGCGAACACACGTGAACGTCCATAAATGCCGATCAGAAATGGTCCCCAAGTGGACAGTCCCTTAGAAGATGGCACGAGCACCAGGGCTGGTCCAGCGGGGAGGGAGCTCCACGAAGTTCTGACCTTGACTCTGAATCACGCCACTCACCAGCAGTGGGGCGGGGGCCACAGAGAGCCCCGAGCCGAGTCCGCGTCCTCATGCGGACGAGAGAACAGCTGACACCTGCCTCACGGGCTGCACTCGTTGAAGATGGAGCACGGGGTTGCCCGCTGGAGAAGCGAGGCTTGTCGGTTGATTCGCTGGGAAACTTCGACCGCACAAACCGCTGTGTAATTTCGGCAAAGGGCCCAACGATGTATGCGTAAGGACACGCGTGCTCGGCAGAACCCAGCGGCAGAGGAAAAGGCGCGAGTTCCCGTATGTGACAGGAGCTCGCCTTGAGGGACCGTGGCTCTCACACCCTCCTGCCGTGTTTGTGACACAGACCTGTATCTTTGCATCGGGATGCGATGGCATCGGATTCTCTTGCTTTCAAGTTAAAAGTGGCTTTTGGGGTGATCTCTTCCAAATTCCAGTCCAGCGTGGGGTCCCTTCCGCTGTGACTCCGTTGACGGCCATCCGTCCTCTGCTGAAACGTCCCGTTGAGGGGCTTTCTCTGCGGCCCTCCTGCCCCCCTCCTGCCCCCAGCCTCGCTTTCATGCCCCATCTGCCTCTTCACAGAAACGCCCGGCCCCCCGAGAACGAGCAGAGAAGAGCTGGCAGCCAAACGCAGCCTCCGACCCCCGCCGGGCGCTGACCCCGTAGTTACCAGGGACCTTCGTCAGCCACGTTCCTCCCAGGGGGCTTCCAGTCCCTCCTGCTCTGCTCCCACCGCCTTTGCCCCCCCACCCCGTCCCCTTCCACTGGGGCAGACAGAGAGGGGTGCGGTTGGATCGTCTCCCAGGAGACGCTGGCAGTTCAGCAGCGGGTGTGCTGATAGCTCCCAGCCGTCCTGCCATCGGAGTGGCCTCCGCTTTCGACCAGCTGTGCTCTCCCGGGGCGGCCCCCGGCCTGCGCGTGAGCGTGGCAGCGGTTCCCCCGAGGGGGCCCTAACCCCGCAGCCGAAAGCTTTGTGAGACGAGGAGAAGGCACACGGAAGAGACGCCAAGCCTCAGGGGACGGTGGGGGAGGGAACAGAGTGATGGGTCCACAGGCAGGTCGCCTGAAATGACTGCGTCTCCGAAGCGGGGGGAGGCAGGGGGAACCCCCCGCCCCGGCTCTCAGAGGGAGCCCGGCCCTCCAGACGCCTCGATTTCAGACTCCGGCCCCTGGAACTGTGGGATGATGACCATCTGCAGTTTCAAGCGCCCCGGGGTGTGGTAATCTGTCACTGCAGCCCCAGGAACAGATTCTTTCAGAGAAACGGAGGCCGAAAGCGGATTAAGCGATTAGCTCAAGGACATGGACCAATTGGCTTTCGTTTGACCGTTAACGTCCTGCTTTGGACAAAGACGGACAAAAACATCTCCGACTGACTTCAGGAACAAAGTACAAAGACTCTGAGAGGGGTAGCAGAGTTTTACCCGCGAACCTGTCGCCGAGCTTCCCGTGGAGCGTGTGCGTCCATCAGAGGCGCTCCGGATGCCACATCCCGACACCGGAGCCCGGGGCCTGATGCAGCGTCACCAGTGACTTCCAGCACGGACTGGATTATTCCAGAATTCTCAGGGGTATGTGTGTGTGCATGTGTGCAAGAGGGGGGGCGGGGCAGAGAGAGAGAGGGAGGGAGAGAGAGAAGGAGGGAGAGAGGGAGGGAGAGAGGGAAGGGAAGGGAAGGGGAGAGAGAGCAAGTCAAGGGTGCTTACTTCTGAGTGCACAACCATTAGATTTTGCTGTCCAGTCAC